CTCAGTCCCACAACCCTGAGGTCATGACCTGAACCGAAATCGAGTCAGACCCTTAACCAACTGAGCCATCCAGGTGCCCCAGGATCATCTTAACACATTTTTAATGTGCATGGCTGAGTACTAGGATGAAATTGGCCTAATCATCTTCCTTTTGTTTTGACAACCCTTAGATTTCATTCCTCTTACAGTTCTTAGGTTCTTGTTGTGGAAAGCAGGTACATTCTAAGTTATGCTAATTTTTCTTTCATGAATGCTCTGTAAATTTGCATTCATCCCATTTTCTAGATTTTGGTTTGTTTTTAAGTTTTTCTCTCTGTTTGAATGTTTGTATATAAAATTAAAAGGCTAATTCACATTTTGCTTTCTCTTAAATTCTGAGAATCTAAGTTTTCATTAGATTAAATTAGATTGCACTGGTGAAGTGCAGAAGCAGTTGTTTAGAAGCGATAATTTTTTTGCTTTATTTTTTAGCTTTATTGTGGTATAATTGATAAACAATAAACTGTACATATATAATATATACATTTTGATGAGTTTTAACATATGTATCTGTAATACCATTACCATAATTAAGATAGTGAACATATCCGTCACCACCTAAATTTTCTCATTCTTCTCTGTAATCTCTACCTCCCTCCTTTCCCTCCCTATCCCCAACCTCTGTAGATTAGTTCATATTTTCAAAAATGTTATAGAAATGGAATGATGTAGTATGTGCTCCCCTTTTTTCTGATTTTTCCTGCATAATTAGAGGTTGATCCATGTTGCTGCATAGATAAGTAATTTGTTTATCCATTTACTTGTTGATGGGTATTTGGTTTGTTTCCAGTTTTTTGGCTACTATACATAGAGCTGTTAATGTTACTATGCTGGTAAATTTATTTCTTAATTTATTTCATGTTTGCATGACAACATGGCCTTCTAGTTGAAGTTTTTTTACCAAACTGAAGCTGAATTTCTTGATTTAATTCTTTATTCAAAATCCTTTTTGGAAATTCCATTGTGAAATGAATGGAGGAGAGCATGTGTTCCCATTGACTCAGCCCCTGTCACATCACCTGACCAAGTTGAGGTCATCTGTCAGTCCTGATCTTGCTGGGTGGGCTGTTGGGAAGTCCATTTTGGTTCCAGTAGTCTTCTGTTAACTCGTAACTCTCCAGTGCCTACTTTTTAAGTGAAGTGGTCCTGTTCTGTGAGATTTGGAGAGGGTTCTGCTCCATTAGTTTAGACCTGGGAAAGAAAGTTACATTTAAATTTTATATGTTATTTAACTGCTCTGCTTTTGTTTCACCTGCCAAGTATCCCTGATAGTATATGTTTGATAGTTATTTTGTTGTTGTTGATGGAGTTGTGACAATTTTCAAACCCTATTACTTTCTCTTGACAGTAGGACTAGTGTACAGGGCTAAAAGCATCTAGATAACTTGGTAATCCCAGGGGCCTTATTTTGAAATTTTGGTATTCTCTCAGTAACATTTTTCTGTGCTTCAGGATTTATTTTAACTAATGACTTAAGGGAAATGCAGGGTACATATAGAATATATAGTATAATGGCCTGAGAATATTAACATTGCAGATTTGATTATTTGCCATCAGTAGCCTACCTAGTAAATTGCTCTCAGCTTCCTATCTCCTCCACTTGTCCTATTTAAAAAGTGAACTTAATTACTAATCAGGGATTTTTACCAGGCTTCTACAGTGTAATTGTACAGAATTTGGAGGAAAGCATTTAATTGAACACAAGAGTGCTGACTCCTATTCTTTACTTAAGTAAACAAGAAATTATAAAAACAGGGCAAAGCTGTTATTATTTTCACAACTATGGAAGGAGACCACCCATACTTCAGAAACTCAGTGTCTGCTGGGTGTGTGTTAGCATTAGAGATGCACAGCACTCCTGTACCTGTCCCACATAAACATACTTCTCATTGTTTAGTGTTCCAGCAGAGAATGTAAAGGGAGGCATGTTGAACTTCTAAGCCATTCCTATACAGAATTAGATCTAAATAATTGCTGTGTTGTTACAAAACCATGAAAATGTTTTTCATGATTTTTGAAAGAGAAGCTTACCTAAGTAGAGATCACCAAAAGCAGAAAGGGAAGATTTAGAGAAATAAGTTTGCTAATTTTCCTATCTTGAATAAAAAGGACCAGTAGATACCATTTCAGTCTTCAGTTGTAAAGAAGATTTAGTATCAACAGAAATAGTACTACATACACAATTAAAAACTCAAGGAGTTAATACTCATTTCATTTTAAATGTTTTCATGTAATCACATGTATCATTCAAAATAGGAAGCATGCATTTTGAATCATTAAAAAGAATAATCAGAAAAAAAAATGTATCCTGTATGGAAAAAGACACAAAACAATACTTTATTTGGAAATTATCTTTCCTCAGAAGTTCAAGGCACTTTTTAAAATTGTCTTTACTGGGCGCCTGGGTGGCTCAGTTGGTTAAGCGACTGCCTTCGGCTCAGGTCATGATCCTGGAGTCCCGGGATCGAGTCCCGCATCGGGCTCCCTGCTCGGCGGGGAGTCTGCCTCTCCCTCTGATCCCCCATCTCATAGTCTCTCTCTGTCTCATTCTCTCTCTCAAATAAATAAAATCTTTAAAAAAAATAAAAAATAAAATAAATAAAATAAAATTGTCTTTACTTGGCATATTTCTTTTTTTTTTTTAAAGATTTTATTTATTTATTTGAGAGAGAGAGAATGAGAGAGAGTACATGAGAGGGGGGAGGGTCAGAGGGAGAAGCAGACTCCCCGCCGAGCAGGGAGCCCGATGCGGGACTCGATCCCGGGACTCCAGGATCATGACCTGAGCCGAAGGCAGTCGCTTAACCAACTGAGCCACCCAGGCGCCCCTACTTGGCATATTTCTTAGAAGAAATTCCTTCAGGGTGTTTTCAGTTTTTTTTCTAAATTACATGGAATTCTATTCTTAGTTTACTAAATGTTAATTAGGGGTGGATATTGCATTATAACAAGTGCCTTTTTAGGTACAAAATGACATTTTGATGGAAAGTTTTTCTTCTTGGACATGGTGATGTAATAAATATATCAGTAACCTAATATTAAACCATCTTTGCAGAACTAAAATAAATCCCACTGGGACTTAGTAGATTACTCTTAATAGATTTGATTTACCAGCATTTTAATATACAGGATGGGACTGGTCTGAAGTTTTCTTTTGTGTTTGCTGTGGTAGGAGAGTTGGGAAACTTCCTATTTTTCATTTGTTCATGTAGTCATTAATTGGGGTCTAAAGCCAGAAAAGAGAGAAGTTTTGTTCTTCGCTTTCCAAATCACTTAGCCAGAACTAAAAGCAACAGTACTATAATTAAATTACATATATTACTGCTTAGCTAGGTTTTTTCAGACTAGCTTGGGAACCAAACTACCATTTAAGGCTTTTTTTTTTCTTCTCTGTAGGAAAAATGTGGAGCAGGTTCCAAATAACTGATTGAAGAGTGGGCTTGTGTGTGTTTTCCTCCTTCCCAACCTCTCTATCAGTACGATCATGCGGCCATGTATCATCCCCTGGATGTCACTCAGCTGATGAATTCATGCTGGTGACCATGAGTATTTAATGGTTTAATCTACAAGTATTTTAAGTAGTAAAGCACATCAGTAGACCTGATGAAAGCTTGGATGTAGAACCAAAGCCTAATTCATACATTCCTGGTGAGACTTTAATTGATAGAACTTAGACAGTTCTTTACATCTTAAAGTTTTTTTTGACCACTTCTGTCTATAGATTAGTTAAAGGAAGTAATTATGGATATATGTAGGGATTTAGTTACAAGGATACACAGTAAAGCCTGCTTTATAACTGTAAAGATTTATAGATAACCTAAATGCTCAGCAATAGGGAATTATTTAAATGAGTATGGATAATTAAATAATGGAATATTATGTAGCCATTAAAATGTTACTAAAAAATACATTTGACACTGAAGGGTGTCCATAATATGCAAAGTGAAAAAACATTTTATAAAACTTGAAGGTATCATATAATCTCATTTTGAAAAATAGGTATGGAAGCACATGTATGCACTCACACATACAAAACCTGGAATAGTACATACCAAAGTGAAGGTAGAGATGTTCTCTTGAGGACATGAGATTATGGGTGACTGTTTACTTCTTTTTATTGGTGTCATTGGGGTTTCTGGAATGAGCATACATTACTTCTGTAATAAGAAAAAAACACTAAGAAAGAAGGAGCATACATTACTTCTTTTTTTTTTTTTTTTAAAGATTTTATTTATTTATTTGACAGAGAGATAGCGAGAGCAGGAACACAAGCAGGGGGAGTGGGAGAGGAAGAAGCAGGCTTCCCGCCGAACAGGGAGCCCGATGCGGGGCTCGATCCCAGGACCCTGGGATCATGACCTGAGCCGAAGGCAGACACTTAACGACTGAGCCACCCAGGTGCCCGCATACATTACTTCTGTAATAAGAAAAAAAACACTAAGGAAGAAGGAACAAATGCCAGCACAAATAGAATATGTAGAAATTATGTCTCCATAGAAGAAATGTGTACCTAGAAAATGAAATGATAGTATAAACTCCTTGAGTTGTTTTTTTTTTTTTTTTTTTAAGATTTATTTTTGAGAGCACACATGAGAGCATGAGGAGGGGAAGCATAGGGAGAAGCAGACTCCCCACTGAGTAAGGAGCCTCTTGCGAGACTCGATCCCAGGACCCTGGGATCATGACCTGAGCCGAAGGCAGATGCTTAACTGACTGAGCCACCCAGGCACTCTCCTTGGGTTTTTAATTGTGTATGTAGCACTTAATATTTCTGTTGATACTAAGTCTTATTAAGCAAAAAAGGCCAGGTCCAGGTCTCCCTGAAGACTCATTTAGAAAGATCCACTTCTGTTCTCGTCACTTTTTTTTTTCTTCTAAAACATATTTTGACTCTTGGCAGCCTTGAAAGCAATTCTTCCATTTAAAAATTCTTTGTCCTTACTTTTGGGGTTATTTGACAGACCGTCTGGACATTCGAGCAGCCCGGATTCTTCTGGATAATGATCATTATGCTATGGAAAAACTGAAGAAAAGAGTGCTGGAATACTTGGCTGTCAGACAGCTGAAGAACAACCTGAAGGGCCCTATTCTATGCTTCGTTGGCCCCCCTGGAGTTGGTAAAACAAGTGTGGGAAGATCAGTGGCTAAAACTCTTGGTCGAGAGTTCCACAGGATTGCACTTGGAGGAGTGTGTGATCAGTCTGACATTCGAGGACACAGGTAGACTCTCTCAGTTTAGTCTCTGGTTCTCCATTTCAGTTGACTAAAGCCCTTCAAAAGCCAAGGCATAATATATATCTTTTTCTCGAAGGTCTATTTGTGACATCTTGAATCAAAAGGACATTCATAGTACTTAATTATAGTACATCTGTAAGATGTTTATGACTGGTTTAGAGAGCCTCAGCTGTAATGGTACATCCAAACTAACCTCGGTATTTGTATGACAGTGGATAACGAGTCTTTGCCTCAGCTTTCCTGGAATTTCATTTGAATGCAATTATAAATCAGTTATGGTTAGATATTACAGTGTCTTTACATTCATTTTGGCCCAGTAGCATTTCATAAATAATGACCTGTAACTCTTAGAGTTTAAAAAATAAGTACAACAGCTGGGGCAGGTAGGAGAAGGGAAGAAATCTTTGATAACAAATGTGTTTGCAGTTTAATTTTCTTTTAAGAAGGCTGGTTTTCCGTAGGAGTATGAGTAATAAGGAGAAAGGTTAAGATAATTATTAAGATCTATCCTTGCATTTTTGACACCCTTTCTGTAAAAATACATTAAACTGTGAGAACTGAGTCTTTGATTAATCTTACATTATTAGAATCAGATTTGCATGTTATGTTGTTGTTTTGTTCTCTGTGGTCTCTGTTGCTCAGATTGGAAGATGCTTTGGGAAAGCATGAACTTTCTGTTTCGAGGTTTAAGGGTTTCATAGCAGTTGCAAGTTGTGAGAAAATACACCTATAGTGTATGTATTAAAGAACATTTTAAAATGTAGAAATCATGGATACTTACAAAAGAATATGATGTTGTAAACCTGAAACTAATGTCAGTGATATCTCAGCTTTTTAAAAAAAAGTTTTTCTAAAGAAACTGCTTAACTTCCAGTAGAAAGTAATCAAACTGAAGATAAAACTTCTCAAGGTCATACCCTGGGTCTTAAAGTTGTTAAAGCAATCTAAATTATAAGTGGAGGCTTTGAAAAGCATGCCAGTGCGGGTGGTGACCACCAACTGCCAAGGCCAAGTCTAATTTAAATGCATATTTACAGTTTGGTGAATGGATTAAACTTGGATTGGGGGGGGGTTATGATGCTTTTATAACATCTTGTTTTCCATTTGTCTTATTCATAAGATCATTGGCCTTAGGCGGGGATGGGAAACTGTTTCACAAACTTCCATGAACAGTGGTTCTTTTTCTCTTTTATTTTCTTGTTTACAATTCTTATGCATTAAAGAAAAATCATTCCAAGATTTCAATAAATAAGCAGTGAGGGCTGCAGATTAGGTTAGGGAATTGATCTGGGTCATTGTTTCTGGCAGTTTCCAACTACTGTTGTCACTTAGACTTGCTTATTCTCACATGTGCCACTAGAGGTTGTGCTTTGCTTTTGTAAAGAAATTGGCACCTTGTACCGATCTTGGAGAAACTGGATCTAGAGCCTGAATCTTTTTATTTTAGCTAGAGAGCTTTTGGGAGATGTTTCCCATTCAAGGGACTTAATTCATGCATTCAGAGTTGTTTTAGTTCACTTCTTTCTTTTGATATCTGTAGCATAGTATTGCGTGAGTGTTTGATGGAATTTAGAGAGGGAATTTGTGGAATTATTGTCGTGAAATTAATGTCACGAACACATGACGTGTAGGTAATTTGTCCTCTTTCTTGCCATGTTGGTATTGCTTATTCAGTAAGCCTTGGAAAACTTTACTTAGTGCCTGACACACAGTAGTAAGCATTTGATAAAAAGTAGCTTTAATTATTATTTTAATTTTAAATTCTCAGGAGGGCAAGTTTACATTTAAAAGCTTCAGTGACTTTTTATAAAATTCAATCAGATTTTTACATAATACCTAAAAATATCCTGTTCTTGGCATTATTATTTAATTTATGTGGCAGAATTGTGGAGAAATGTATTTTTGTGATGACAATTGGTGGGCAATATGTAATGTCATAGTTCTTACCACTTCTTAATGAATGTTGGTTTCAAGCAGAGCTCTATCTTAAGTCTTTACTGATACTGTTAGACATAAAATCTGTTCGAGTGTACTTCCACATATGTATCATTAAGAAAATTGAATCTGAGTCTTTTGTAAAACGAAGCTGTGTATTTGCCTAAAAAATGTGTGTAAATATAAGCTTTTTAGGAATGTATGGCATGCATAGAGGCTGTGATCATTGCCAAATAAAGGGTACATGGATTAGTCTGAGTCATTCTGTGCCTGCTGGTAAGTACTCCCTCACCATCACTGTACTAGGTGTTTCACTAAACACTACAGCAGACCGACCCTCCCAAGGCATTAAAGCCTGGAGAAAATTTTTATTTGAAAACCAACAGGGAAGCAGGTGCAGAGTGGGATGTGGTCATTAAGGAGAGCACAGGTTGAGAACAGAGTATGGGCTTATGTCAGAGCTGTGGGTTGGAGGTGAATAGAAGGGGAGGAAGAACAGTAGCTTATAGCACAATCATGGGGTGGAGTTTGTGAGAACAAGTGGTTCCACGTGACAGTTGAAGCATTTTGGAAACACCCAGGTCTTGGCATTTAAGTACTGGTCACATGCTCGCAATTAGAGTTCATGCAAAGTTTTGTTTTTCGTCAGCCTCTGAGTAGGCATCACTGTTCTGCAGTCTTAAAATAATCAGGGAAAAACAGAGCTGCTTTATATTATCTTCCTTGCTTATTCTTTTGATTTTGTCATTCACTTTCCCTATTTTTCCCATGCTCAGAACTCCATCCTTTTACTAGAAATACCTGTTTATATGAAGGAAGGTCCTGTTAGGAATTGATTTTAAAAACAAAGATGTATGTTTTAGAGTTCAATGATAATGAAGTGGGAGATGGGGAAGCAAAAGAAAGACTTGGTTTACATTTAAATCTTAAACTTGGAAAATCGTAATCTGACTTTACATTGGCCCATTGTTTTTGTTTATATTGAGTGGCTTAAAGAAAGAAGAGTCATGTTTATGCTCCATATTAACTAATACAGTTTTTCAGTCTTCTCAACATTTTTCATTTGGGTTTGTCTCTATTGGGGCTTTTCTGTTCACTTTCATAAGCCACAGAATCTCTGTTACTATCAGTTTTTACAGCTTAGCATTTTTATATTTAAATATTACATTTAAAGAATTTAAATCAGTTCATAACAAATATAACAGGATGAAGTTTTATGAAATCATGTTTGTGTAATCGTTTTTCATTAGTTGTTTCTTGGTGAAATATACTTATTGCTATGATGTGTCTCAAGTTATTATTGATAGTAACTCTTTGGAAGTGGTTTGCCAACTCTTTGTTCAGATAATAAAATGATATTGCAAGGAATCTTTGGCTCAAACAAGGTGAGAAGAAAAATGAACTTTTGCTTTCCACGATACATCTTCATGAACCTGAAATGGTGATGTTTTAAATAAATTAGCTGTTTCATTATTAGTCTCCACAAAGGGAAAATAACCAAAGTAGCAAGCTTTTAATATATTTTTAGCATAGTATGCCAGACATGTTATGGTTTACTCACTATCCTCATAACCTGTATTTGCATATAGTTCTTCTTTGCCTCTTTAAAGTTAATTTTATTTTTAGCCCCAATTCAAGGGTTTCTCCATTAATATATGTGCAGTTATGATCTTACTCTTCTCTAAACTGACCACTTATTGTCCAATGTTTTCTTTTAATGATTAAATATTATAGGCCTCTGGCATTTGTAATACATTACTGTAGAGATAAGCCATAAATATGGAAAAGGTATGAACTCTGTAGAATAGGGTTTTTAGCTTGTCTTACTTTGTAACACTCTGTGCTCACAGCACAGTGCCAAACATGGTAAGTGCTCTCTAAGTGCTTTGTGAATTCAAATAAGATTAAAACATAATTATATTTTGGAAGTCTTGCAGTCCTTTAAATGAGTGCATCCGTACAAATGAGTACATAAAAAGATTTAGGAATGACTGCTCTAAGAATAAGAATTTGATTTGTTTAGACATGTTATATTAAAGACTATTTTTAGTTCCTTAAAAACTGTTTTTCTTTTGAGATCATTAGAATCTCTTTTAAGGCTTATTACTTTTCCCAGTTGGAGAGAGATATATACACCCTTGGTAGAAACTCTGGAAATTTTTTTTAAATAGGAAAAAAAATTCTCATGCTTTATACCATACACAAAGATAATCACTGTTAACATTTTATTTCCTGCCAGACTTTTCACTGGGCAGCTTTTACCCTTTTTTTAAGTAATTGTAATCCTACTCTTTCCACTTAACATTATAACATACATTTTTTATATTACAAATTCTTCCTAAGTATTGCTTTAGTAGTTTGCACCGTAGCACATTGGAGCTCCTTAATTGAGCAGGCATGAAAAGGGGATGGTAAAATGCCTATTTTCCCCCTTCTTTAAACATTGGGAAAGAGGTGAGTAAATACACATCTGTTCCTGATATTTAGATGTCAGTGACAGTGATAGGCTGACCAGCCTTTTGGCTTACAGTAGATTTGAAGATATCCAGGCACAGAGTAGTAAAGTAGTTGATTACCATGGAGCTGTAAATACATGATATTATAATTGTTTGTAGTTGTTTTTGAAGCATAAACCAGACTATATTTTGGAAAATGAAAAATGCTGATCTTGTAACTTAACATTTTGAACTATGGAGACACTTAATAGTTTTGTTTATGTCATACATTAGTTGAATCGTCCTGATAAACCTATGAACTGCCTGTATCAATTACAAGAAAAATAGAAATTCATATATTTTTTAAATTAACTTGTGTACTTCAATTTTAAGAAAAACTTCTAGGTAATCATGTATTTAGGCTGAATAATAAGGAATTGAAGAAATACATTCTTTGCAAACTTCCCTGTATTGTGCTGTGTTGCTTTCTAGATGTTATATCATGAGGAAGGACATGGAAAAATATGTATTTTGCCCTCAAAAAAGTTGCAGCTTGTAAGAGTATTCATTTCATTAATTTCCTACCTATGTAGTTTCTCAGGAGGTTATTTTGATATGCTAATATATTTTTTAAAAGTGGTTATATTGGGTGATGTTGAATGAGAACATTTTTATTTTGTGTATTACTACATTTTTCACCATCTGATTCATATTCCAAAGGTTTATTCTGTATCCTTAGTCAGTGGATAGCAGGCTACCATACCTTCTGGCCAAAGATAGCACATTATAGATATTTTCCACAGCTTATAGGCCCTATGTAATGGTTCTCTTCTTTGTTTGACCTCTAGACTAGTGGTACACATTTGGGGGATGTCACTTGTGATTGAGGAACACTAGGACATTGAGTGTGCTTGGTGCTCTGGAAAGACATTAACAACAATGAACATCTTTTGAAAGCTTACTGTGAGCCAGGCACTCTGGTGTGTACTTGACCTGTTATGTTCTTGTAATCATATAATTCATTAGGTTGACACTGTTATTTCCATTTTACAGATAAGGAAACTGAGACTTAGGTCAAGTAGTTTGTTTAAAGCAGTATTCAGAGACTTGTATGGCCTTCACAGTGGTGATAGAAAGATACTTTGGGTGCTGGCATGGTTGATCTGATGTCCTTAAATAAATTGGGAAAACAAGCTTCTGTTTGGAGAACAATCTGACAGCTCTATATTGAGGATCAGCTCTGTAGTAAGACTCACTCTCTGTCATCAGAGTGCTCACTAGCTCTTTTAGAAGAGGCTGTGTACTTGGTACCCATAAATAAAAACTAGGTTGTAACTTCATCAGATGAATTGCAGGCAGTAAATGCTGTAGACATTGCATTATTGGAAAGATCATATTGTGAGAGATGGTCAGGAAAAGTTGTTTAGAATTTCTGGACTTACATATGCAGGGAGAGTATTAAGGGCAGGAAGCTACCATATTAACAGAGGTTAAAAAAGCACAAGGGGTATAATAGGATTGTGATTTTAGATAAAGCAAGAGCGTAATGGCAGCAGGTTAGGAAGACTGGTGGGGACTGCATCGTGAAGAGCCTTGAATTCCAGACAAAGGAATTTGGATTTATTCCCTAGGCTCTGGGAAGCAATGAAAGGTTTAGGAGGAATTGTTTGTATATAGACTATGATCTAGATTTCTCATTCTTTAGAAAGGGCACCTGCCTAGAATATTATTTTCTCTCCATGACTTTAGGTCTAGAATTGTCAATACCTGTTTTTGAAATCTACCTGTCAAAAACCATAAGAAAAAGAAAGAAGTTGATGCAGTAAGAAATGACCCTTGGAGGCTTTGCAGTGTTTTGTTTTGTTTTCAATTTCCCTTGCCTACTTACTCACAGAATACTGGCAAATCTGTATGTTCTCTAGAGAAATAATTTGAGAGACTTAATAATTTTGAGTCTCGTCCTTCCTGTATCCCATTCTGAAATCTTGAATGTGCTGACTCCTTATTGTAATATGACAGTGTTTATTGTGTTTGGTTCCAGTGCCTCGGTCACCCTCTCTGGATGTAAGGCATTCCCAAAATATTTGGAAGGCTTGCTTGTCTTTTCAAAGGTCGCTCTATTTACTCTGTCCTACTTTATACAGTCATGTGGTGAAACTGAGGCCTGCTCTGTGGATCGGCTTTGTGCCCACCCTAAGATAACTGTTGCTGTAACACTCACCATTTGATCAGTTTCTTGTAGGTAGACACCCTTTTATGTCTTTTCACAAACATCATCTGCTTTACGCATGGCTTTGGCAACAAGGTTGTAATTAAAATTAGTAAATTGCTGCTTAAAGTTTTGCTGGCTTTGTAAAAAAAAAAAAGTCACCTGTTTTCAGTTTGACAAACACATTTGTTTTTATGCCACCCTCTAGATCTGTCATAATTATGTAGATGGTTCTTGTTCCGATACGATAAAGGAGCCTCTAACATTTTAGTGCACAACAGAATATCTGGCTGAACTTGGTTGTTATACCAGTTAATATACATAGGATGAACACAGTTTTATTCAAAAGGCCAGAATTAAAAGAATTTTGATATACATACTGTTGACCCCGAATCTTACTATAAGTAATAACAAACTATTGCCTCTAAAATAAAAGAATTTGGATTTTTTTTTTTTTTTTTTTTTGCATTTTGAGTGGCCCTTTGAACCAATTCTGATTTCCTTCATAAAGATGATGATGATGTTTTAACCAGCCCTGGCACAACCATTTCATTGTGTACAAAGGTGCTTGTGGGAGGCTGGGGGGTGGGGTGGGAGGGTACTCTGAGAAACTATGAAAAGCATGGGAATTAAAGTCATAGGCTCCTTTGGACGTTTTGGAATCCTAAAAAGTAAAAGTTACAATCATTTAAGTATAATGTTTCTCAGTTTCACTAAATGGCAAAAACTAGATTCTTCCAGTATCTTGGGAAACTTAGAGCCTGAATTAAATAGAAAATAAAAATTAGACCTGTTAACTCTTGGTTGTACCATAGAGCTTTTTAAATATATAGTACCTCCTTGCTGCATTACTGTGATAACTAAATGACTTTTTCTCAGTCCTAAGTTTTTATTTCCGAGTAAAACCGCTCTTGCCTCCCGACACCTTGTTAACTTGATGCTTGCTTTCTGTAGGCGGACCTATGTCGGCAGCATGCCTGGACGTATAATCAATGGCTTGAAGACTGTTGGAGTTAACAATCCCGTGTTCCTATTAGATGAGGTGGACAAACTAGGAAAAAGTCTACAGGGTGATCCCGCAGCAGCTCTGCTTGAGGTAAGACTTAGAAACTTCCCTGGTTTTGATCACACCTGAAGAGTGCAGATGAGAGCAGATAATTGTATTCAGTAGCATATACATTGATGTGGGTTTAGTCATGGGAAAAAGTGTGATACAGACTAAAACCTGAAGCAAATTAATATTTAAGTTAAAATGTCTTTGAGATTTCTTCTTTCTTTCTCTAATAATCTCCATTTCTTTTTTCTTTTTTGTTTTTATCAAATACTTGAAATTTTATACGTGTTTTTTTTTTAGAGACCAGTAGTTCTATAAGGTTATTACAAAAAACAGGAAACAAGTCTTCTTCTCCCTGGGGTCCCCCATGTCTACTTCTACTTGTTGACCTCTTTAACTTTTAGTTTAATCAACTGTCCTTTCTCAAAATAACATGACTGTATTGCTGCTTCTTTTTTTTTTTTTAAGACTTTATTTATTTATTTGAGAGAGAACGAGAGAGAGCATGAGCTGGGGGAGAGGCAGAGGGAGAGGGAGAAGCAGACACCCCGCCGAGCAGGAAGCCCGATGCGGGGCTCGATCCCAGGACCCCGGGATCACGACCCAAGCCGAAGGCAGACGCTTAACCGACTGAGCCACTCAGGCGCCCCTGCTGCTTCTTGATTATACAGTTTCTGGCATTATCTGTTGAATCTTCTGTATAAGAGATGAGGATTTCACTTGCTTTCTTCCCTCCACCCCCACTATGTCGTTTTTTTATACCCCCAATCTCCCAGTCTAAATTGTATCCTGATTTTGTTAAGTCACTGTCAGATACTTAAATTATTATAAGTATGTAAGTGCTTTTCACAGCTGAGCCATATGGTAAATTATGATCACTTTTCTTTTCCTGTCCTTCTTTTGTTTTGCTGCACATTTAAAAAAAAAATCTTTGTAGAGCTAATAGTTGTCTTGTTTCTTCTGCCTTACTTCCAGCAGTTGTCTAAGTCTCCTTTCAAGACTAGTAGACACTGTGGGGTGCCTGGGTGGCATAGTTGGTTAAGTGTCCAACTCTTTTTTTTTTTTAAGATTTTTATTTGAGAGAGAGAGAATGAGAGAGAGAGCACACGAGAGGGGGGAGGGTCAGTGGGAGAAGCAGATTCCCTGCTAAGCAGGGAGCCCGATGCAGGACTCAATCCTGGGACTGACTCCAGGATCATGACCTGAGCCAAAGGCAGTCGCTTAACCAGCTGAGCCACCCAGGCGCCCCAAGTGTCCAACTCTTGATTTCAGTTCAGGTCATGGTCTCAGGGGTATGAGATCAAGCCCTGCATCAGGCTCTACACTCAGTGCAGTTTGCTTGAGTTTCTCTCTCCTTCTCCCTCTGCCCCTCCCCCCCTGCTCCCACATGTACACCCTCTCTCAAATAAATAAAATCTTAAAAAACAACAACAACAACTTGCAGACACTTTAAGCATTTGTCAGTTTGATCTCCTTCACACCTCCAGCTTGAGCTAGTTGTTGTCCACATCGGGTACCTAGCTGTCTTGCTAGGTAGGATCTCCCTTCGCCTCCCACTGTTTTGGATTTCCTGTTTCCTCTAGTCCATGTCTTCCTCATTCTTGCTTTATTCTCTCATTTTCTTGGTGTTAATCTACCAGTAGATTCCTGAGAAGGCTTGCATGGGTGGGTTAGAGTTTGCATATCTGAAAATGTCTTTATGTTTCCCTTATTCTTGATTGGTAGTTTGCATTCTGGTTGGACATAATTTTCCTGCAGTATTTTGAAGACATTGCTCCATTGTTTTCCAGTTTCCTGTGTTGCTGTTGATTAGACCAAGGCCATCAGATCCTGTCTTTTGTGACTTGTTTTGTTCTCTGAAAACTTTCAGAATCTGCTCTTTATCCCAGTGTTCTGAAATTTTACAGTAATCTGCCTTGGCATGGTTCTCTCTCTCTCTCTTTTTTTTTTTTTTCATTTTAGCTGATGCTTTGAAGATTCTTTGAATTGGAAAATCCTGTCCTTTATTTCCTTAAAATTTTCTTGAATTTAATGATTTTTTTCTTCATTTTTTGGGAACTCCTATTAATTGGATGTGAGATCTTTAATTTTCTTATCTTTTCTATTACTCATCCTTTTTGGTTTTTTTGCTATACTTTTTATGAAGACTTCCTTTATCTATTAATCCTTCTGTGAGTTTATTATTTTAAAGAACTTTTTCTTAATTTCTCTGCTTGTTCTTTTTATAGTATCTTGCTCGTTACATAAGTGTAATATATTCTCTTTGTGAGAAAGATATTAATAGATATTTTTTTCCTTTTCTTTAAGCTGCTTTAATCTATTTGTTATATATTTTTTCCTCTGTCTTTTTTATTAGAGTCCATTAGATATCTGGTAATTTTTGTTTGTTCATATTTAATAGTGAGGAACAGAAATGCTGATTGGCAGCTGTGCACATCTGAGGAGGGTTTATTGACTTGAGTTTCACAATAGGGTTGGCTGGGCTGTTTGATTGAGGAACGTCTTAGGTCTCTAACTTCAGTCTCTTGAGGCTGGTCAGATTTCTCAGAGAGGACTCCTTAAGTCCCTTGCCTTTAGAATGAAGGCTGGTCTGCTAACTTCCTGGGAATCAAGCAAGGGGGGAGATGGGAGGGTGGGGACTTCCACTGCATTCAGCATCCCAGATGTATGCCTTCACCTGAACTGTTGTTTTCAGTAGAGTACATACTCTACTCAGCTGTGCCCAGGGTCACTTGGGCAGGGAATGACTATTTTATTTTATATTCTTAGGAAAATAAACCAGTATTTTGCTGGGATGGGGGAAGGGATCTGGGACCTGACTGCTTCATAAACTTTAACCAGTCCTCATTTTACTAGCCCTGCTCCCACAACCCTTACTGTTTAAAGAAAATACTAATATTCAAACTGATTTATAAAATTGAGGGAAAACTTGCTTTGTGAAAGTTTGTTTTTTTCCTTGTTTATTTCCTTGCTTTGAGTTTCCTCTTCCTGTTCCTTTTCTGTTTTTGTAATCTTCTTAGAACAGGATGACCCTGGGACACGTGTCTTGTAAGCAGGGAGACCATACATTCTGGTTTGCCTGGGACAATTCCATTTTATGCCTAATTATCAATTGCACTCTCTTTTAGTCTCAGAAGTGGGTCCTGTTTGGACAATAAAAAGTACAATTGTTGTACTTAAAAGCCACAGAACTTGGAGATAAGAGTTTCGTTTGGTTTTGCCTGTTTTTACTGTAAGGCAGTTCTGACTCAGCAACTTGTTTACTCATCAGTACTACGAACAATAAAATAGTGAACATTATTGAAGAGTTTAGTGGCTTCTTAGATAATAACTTTATTTGACTTCCAGTTTAATTTACATTGGGGCATTTTTCAGATGATCTGACAGATTTTCTCATTAGACAGTTATAGTTACCCTGTTGAAAAGAATTTGAGAATAATCCCTGATACTTCAGTTTCTCAACATACTCTGTGAGAGTCCTGAAACAAATCCAGCAAAGACAGCTTCACAAGTGGTAGGAGATGATTAAGCCCCCTGTTTGTTGTACAGTATATTTTAGGTCTTCATCTAGTGCTTTGTAGCGATTGAGTAACATTTGTTGAATTGAATTGATGTTTGGTAACAAGCAGCTGGTGTGGTGATATTTTCTTGCCTGGTAGAAGTTGGTATTCACTTTTTTGGTAATTGATTTATTAATATTCCAAATAAAAGTATTAAAGCCTCAAATGATACCTCAAAGTAAATGCTACCTGGGGCCACATACTTATCACTGTAGTTTAGTTGTAAGTAGCATCAGTTCCTTATAGACTGGGGTTCTGTAGAGTGAAGCAAATACATATACAGAAGAAATGAGTGTCTTGGTACCTGACTTCCTTCTCCCTCCCACCTGCTCCAGTCCTGGGTAAAAAACCTCTTACCCCTCACAGATTGTTGAAACAATTAAATGATATATATGTAAAAGTGCTCTGGAAACTGTAAAGTACTCTACAGATGTTATTTTAATTTAATATCCACTGACATTTCTTCTTTGTCCATTTTGAAAACCACTTGCTATTTCTATCACCTTTAGACCCACCTAAATGGAAAAAAAGGACAAATTACTCAACACCTTATATATATATATATATATATATTTTTTTTTAAAGATTTTATTTATTTGAGAGAGAGAGAATGAGAGAGAGAGAACACATGAGAGGGGATAGGGTCAGAGGACGAAGCAGACCCCCTGCCGAGCAGGGAGCCCGATGCGGGACTCGATCCAGGGACTCCAGGATCATGACCTGAGCCGAAGGCAGTCGCTTAACCAACTGAGCCACCCAGGCGCCCCTCAACACCTTATATTTAAAGTAGAATATTAGCGTCTGGCATATCCAAGAGTATGGCTTTTTATCTTTCCACATAGCCTACTTTTTAATGAAATGACTTCTGGATATCATTTATAAAATACACTCGTACAAGATTATTTTATAGCTAATTTATATTAGAACAATATAAGATATAAAGAACACAATAGTAGGTATAGAGTCGTTACTCCAAGTAAACTAAAGAATATACTTGTTCTGCCTATAGATTCTCCTCACCTTCATATTTATTCACGAAGGAGATGCCTATTTATCCAGTTACTGTTGTCAACAAAGGAATATTTACTCAAAATTTAGAGAGCCTCTTTTGAAAATTTATTGGAAGAACATAAAAACAGGTTCAACTAATTGATTAAAAAATGTTGGTAGACAGTAGAACTTGGATAAGTCTGTTGTTAAATAGTAATAAAATGTCATCTTTTTATGTAATTACTAAACTCAAGAAAATTATAGAATTCTTATCAGGTAGATGCAATCATATTTATAATTGATGCAAGATTCAGACTTTGTTATAAAACATAAGAGCACTTCTGAAATACATTGGGCTAACAAAATGCATAGATACTTTACCAATTTTCTATGTAAGCAATATTTACAGTTCTGAATAATATATGGTATCCCCAAAGTAGAAAAGTCACTAATATAGACCTAGTAAGCTTTTTTTAACTGAAGTTCTTACTT